GTCTTGAAATCAAAGTTTAAAGACTCAAAAACTGAATTGAAGGTAACTTGCTGAACCAAACTTCTCTGTTGGCAAATTACACTTTGCATTCAAGTTTTGAAGTGAAGAAGTTGTATTCCCATCAGAAGGATTTTTTTTTTTTTCTATAGTTTTGTAATCCTCAGGGACAGGGGAAAAAAAGGACGATGGACCAAAAAACAAGGCATTTATTGTAAGAATAATTCTTACTCAAGTTGAAAGACTTTTTGAACAAGCAGAGTCTGATCATGACAGTAGTGAATTTAACACAGGAAACCACAGCAGTATCTCCATCTCTGTTGGTGGAACTGAAGTAGATGAAGGCCAAATGGAAATGCTTGCTTGGAAATAATAGCTAGAGCTCTTTTTCAATAAAAGAAGATTGATGTTCCTGAAAAACACACATATAAATTTTTAAAAGATCTTCTCAGAGCTATCAAGCCAGAGATGGATTTTTTGAACACAGAGTCTGAAGAAAGTGTTAGAAGTTAGTTTATAAATGGTCTCATCAGCATTCCCTCAGCTCAGAAATATACTTCTTCAGCAGCTAGGAAAAAGCACACAAAAATCTAGCCAGGGCTTGATGATGACCCACAAAAAAGTTTAATAAGTGATTCATTTTTTTAAAATCAACCTTCTTCATTTTTAGGTAGGATTAGTTTCTTTTTAAATATTACCTGCCACTTTATACTAAAATGATTGTGTTCAATATTTGTATTTTTATAAATTCATGTTTTTCTGTAGTAACCTTTCTAAATTTTTGCAGTTACAATGTATCATTTGGTTTCCCTAATTTGTATTTCTCTTACCAGTTTTAAAATAAAGTATTATGGTTACTATGCTAAGTACACACTTGGATTTTGCTTCATTGTTCAAGCACTCTTTGAGAAGATGTCTAAATGATATTTCAAACGTGATCCTGAAGGATGCGAGGACTTAGTCAAGATGAGTTAGTTGGTGGACTGTCCTAGACAGAGTGCTTCAGGTGAGACAGGCACAGTGAGTTGACAAGTTCAGGATGGTTGGTTCTCGGAGTTCAGATGGATGAAAGGTCCAGGTTGAAAGTGGAATGACAGGCTGGTGACAGGCCACGAGGGCCCTTGAGAAGGCTTGAGTAGTATCCAAGGACTGGTAGGAAACCAGCGGAGGTTTTGAAATTTAATAGTGATGATCAGGCTTGCATCTTAGAAGCCAGTCATGAAAAGCTAATTAAAAGATGCTTACTCCTTGGAAGGAAAGTTATGACCAACTGATTGAAAAGCAGGGACATTACTTTGTTAACAAAGGTCCATCTAGTCAAGACTATGGTTTTTTCAGTGGTCATGTATGGATGTGAGAGTTGGACTTTAAAGAAAGCTGAGCATGGAAGAATTGATTCTTTTGAACTGTGGTGTTGGGGAAGACTCTTGAGAGTCCCTTGGACTGCAAGGAGATCCAACCAGTCCATCCTAAAGGAAATCAGTCCTGAATATTCATTGGAAGGACTGATGCTGAAGCTGAAACTCCAGTACTCTGGCCACCTGATGCGAAGAGCTGACTGATTGGAAAAGACCCTGATGCTGGGTAAGATTGAGAGCAGGCAGAGAATGGGACGGCAGAGGATGAGATGGTTGGATTGCATCACCAACTTGATGGACATGGGTTTATGTGGACTCTGGTAGTTGGTGATGGACAGGGAGGCCTGGCATGCTGCGGTTCATGGGGTCACAAAGAGTCGGACACAACTGAGCAACTGAACTGAACTGAATCTGTCAGAAAACTCGCAAACATCCAGGTGAATGATGATGTGGATAAATCAGTGGCAGTGGGATGGAGGAAAAGTAGGTGGATTACAGAGCTCTTTAGGAGCTAGAATTCAGCAGGCATGATGGGGGTCAGGCATAAGCAGCTAGAGGAATGTGGTAGCAGTTACTCCAATCGGGGTTGCAGGGAGAGCTGTCTTGGTTTGTGTGGAAGGCTGATAGGTTCACTTTTACAGATGCCATGGGACTCCAAATCACGAGTTTCATTTGGTAAAGAATGGGACATCTTTTAAATGTGAAGATCTAGGGCTCACAGACGTGTGGAGTAATCAGCATTGGGAGAGGACAGAAGATTCTAGATGGGAAGAGGAAGAGAAACTGAGTAACAAGAGCCAGAGCCAGTGGAAGAAAAACCAAGAGAGGGTGGTTTTGGAGAAGCCACTTTCTAGAAGTGTTTCTAGCGGGGGAGAAAAAAGGAAATGCCACTGGCAAGTTATGATGAGTTTGAACAAGATAAGGACCCAGAGTTTCTGCTTGTTTCAACTTTATGGCTGACTGGTGACTGTGCAATGGCAGTCAGATGATGGGAATCCTAAAGTGAAGAATTAGGTATCTCATTCAAGAAGTTTCCAGTGGAAGAAAAGAGAAAGGAGGTAACCTGGAGATTGGTAAGGAACTGAGGGCAGGTGTTGAGGTTAAACATGAAGGAGATCTGAGCCTGATTAAATGGTGATGGGTATAAGCAGGTAGAGAGGGCAAGTTGGAGATACAGGGAGGGTGATTGGGCATCCGTGTCCCTGGGAAGGTGGAATTCAGTGGAGGCTAGAGTTTCAGGAGAGACTGGGTTTGTATTATAAAGCGAAGGAAGTCAAAGTCTGGATCCGGCCAAGTGTCTGCGAGTGATGGTGGAAAGTGAGGCAGTTGCTTCTGAAAGGGCTCTTTATTTTCTTTGTGATGTGGACAGCATTATCTGCTGAGATTGAGAGAAGGTAGAAGGGGGGAGTTTGAAGGAGAACAGAGAATATTTTAAATATCTGCCGTGGAGAAGGGGAGCGAGAGCTGACCGGGGACAGCTTGAGGAGGAGTTGAGGTTTCTGACGGTAATTGGTATTGGCCCCGTGTCTTTGTGAATTTCTCCAGCAGCAAAGAATAGCAGTCTCACCTGCCCTTCCTGAGCTTTGTGAGGAATGTTTGAGGAGTTTCTGGTGAGTTAGGGGTAGAGTCCATGAACAGGATATAATGAATGTCATGGTCATCTTTGACAGGTCCATCGGTGTTCTGTGCTGCAGGGTTAAAATAGTCTCTGAAGTTTTGAAGTGTGTGAGGCTCTTTGCTCCTTCAGTAAATGTCCCCAGACTGCTGTCTTGTTGCTCTTTCAGTTCGCATCCTCTTTTTTATACTGTTTCTATCTCCTCCCTTTTTGTTTTCTTCCTTATTGTCAGTGGTCTGTCACATTGCTGTCTGCATGCAAGTCTCTGTCAGCCCTACACTCTGGACTTTGTCAGCATCTGGATTTATCACACCTCTGAAATCAAGCTGTGGGCTTGAAGACCAGACAACCACGCTTATTAAAATTATGTGCAAAGTAAGAGTAAATAACCTCTGAGTGTGATTCTCATGTGCTGTGCTTTGAGGGTGTACATAAGTGTTTGTACATGGATTTTGTGATGTTTTTTGGGTTGTCTTATCAGCTGTCCATATATGAGATGCTTGTTGCCTGTGTTCCCATTGTGTTTTCCCTTGTGCTGAATTTCCATGGATTGTGATAATATTCTTAGATAGCTCATGGTAATAGTGATTTTTTTTCTAATTATTCTTTAGTACTCGCAAAGCATTTTCATATGTATTACCTAAATTTAGAACTATATGATTAGATATTTTATGCTGCGATTTCTTATTAGTCTCATGGATTTTCAAATACATATTATGTATGAGAATAACATGTATTTTCAAATATTGATGCATTTTGTATGAGAGTAACCCACCATGTCACAACTCAATCATTTAACCATATCACGTGTAAATGAAACAAGGCAATGTAAATAAGTATTTTGGAGGTTTGAAAAGTAAGTTATCTACTCTAGCTTTTTGTGTATTTGGGCTTTTTTTTTTTTAATAGATACAACTTTCTCATCTGTGAATATCTTTTGTCTATGTCAACAACTTTAATTTTTTTACAGAAGTATTCTTAGGTGTACAGTAAGTACATAATGCTTTGTACATTTTCTATAAATTAATTTAATTTTGACCCCAACCTTCCTTCTTGTTAGGAGGAAGATAAAGTCAACACCAGTCATTTGGACACTTTGCTCCACCCCCAAGGTTGTTCTAAAGTTTGGAGTCTGGAGAAATGCCAGACATTGAGGAGAGGGCCCTGAGCTGCCATTAGTCACCTGGCCACTATGGGGGCCTGGGAGAGACCCTCATCCCATCCCTCACATCCCTCCAGATGCAGCAGCTCTGCTGGATGCCTTTGGTGCTTACTATGCGGGAACCTTTGGTGAGGCCCAAAGCCCTGGGTCTGGGCTTTTGCCTCCCAGGGGCACTTGTAAGCTCTTTCCTCTGAGCTAAGACTCTGTCTTAACCTAGGCAATGTGGGAGAAGAATGCTGCCAAGTAACTCTCAGACCTCTCTCCTTTCTCCTGTCTGGGGAGATCCATTTTATTTGTTTATTTAGGCCATGCTGTGTGGCATGCAGGATCTTCCTTTACACAGGGATTGAACCTGTGTCTCCTGCATTGGGATCATGGAGTCTTAACCACTGGCTGCTAGGGGAAGTCCCTAGGGAAATCTTTTTTAATCTACGGGAAATCCATCTATCCTCAAACTTTGTTCTCAGTAGGTTTGGGGCGGGGGGGGGGGGGGGGGTGGGGGTTGGTTGATGTGGTTTTTAGTTGATGTGGTTTTTATAAAAGCTAGGAAGCCCTGATACAGTATAGCCTGTTTATAGGGCAATAACACAAATTTCTTTTTAAAAGTAAGGTAGTGAGTTGCAGAGTAGTAAAAAAAAAAAAAAAGGAAACTCAGCAGGCCACCTCTGTTGTCCTACCACCTCTGAGACTAAACCTACATTGATTGCTCAGTCTTTACTTTTATAATTCAGTGAAGGATATTAATTTTTGTTAAATATGTTTATATTTTATTGATATAATTTCTGAGTGATTTAAATAGTAAGCAGCATATGACATTTTTTAGTGTGCTGTAAATATTCTAATTTTGTTTTGTCTTATTGTACCTAAGAACACTGGAACTATTTTGGGGCTGATGAGAATCTTGGTCCAGTGGCTGTGAGCATTCGAAGGGAAAAACCAGAAGAAACGAAAGAAAATGGATCTCCCTACAACTATCGAATAATTTTTAGAACTAGTGAGGTAAGTTGCACATGAGAAAGACTTGAGGCTTAATTTAAGTGAGAAAAAAAATAGAGTCGTAGTAGTAGCAAAGCAATTAAATTTAATAGCACATGGTTACAAATGTCTTTAGAATAAACAAAGACCCCTTTCATTCATTCTGGTGGTGACGGGGGTGGACATAATGATTAGATCTGGACCCTTTCTTCCCATCTAGCTTTGGGTAGATGCAATAAATGAATGGGAATTTTGATTCACAGAAAGATATGTTCATTAAGTGTGACCCAAGGAAATTGGAGTCCTCAGAATCCCAAATTGGATATTACATATCCTGTTTGGGCAGCCGGAAGGCACTGAGCCAGCTTGAGGAGCCAGAGGGGGTCAACTAAAACTTAACTCACTTTTTCAAACTATTGTTGAGGAAGTTTCTTGACCCAGGAAAAAGGAAAAGGACTCTTCTTGGACTTTTTTCTTTGCCATCTTTGACCTATTCTCGGAGGCTTAAAATAAAAACTTTTGAATGAGAGGCTGTCTAATTGTGGGTAAATTGGGTCCTTGGAGCTCTTTAAGGAACTAAGTACACATAATATGTGAGTTTCTATTTTAAAGTGAAATTCAGGTAAAAAAGAGAATGTGAAAGAAAGTGAAAGTGAAGTTGCTCAGCCGTGTCCGACTCTTTGCGACCCCATGGACTGTAGCCTACCAGGCTCCTCCGTCCATGGGATTTTCCAGGCAAGAATACTGGAGCGGATTGCCATTTCCTTCTCCAGGAGATCTTCCTGACCCAGGGATTGAACCTGGGTGTCCTGCATTGTAGGCAGACCCTTTACCATCTGAGCTACCAGGGAAGTCCAAAAGGAAACAAAAGAAAATAGCCAACAAAGCATTAAAGAAAAACTCTGGTGGCAAAGATAAAGAATCTGCCTGTGATGCAGGTTCAATCCCTGGGTTGCAAAGATCTCCTGGAGAAGGAAATGGCTACCCCCTCCAGTGTTCTTGCCCGGAGAATCCTGTAGACAGAGGAGCCTGGAGGGCTATAGTCCTGGCATCCCAAAGACTGGGATGTGACTGAGCAACCAAATACATATATCTAGTATTCAAATATTTATATATAATACATATGTATATTTATTCTCAAAAGTAAAATAAAAGCAAGCACTAGAGTTTGTTATGTAGAGACTGTTAAAGCTTTGCCTGATTTCCAGATTCAAAAAAATGACCTCATGAACAAGTTTGGGACTATGAGGGAATTTTTTTGTTTTCTTTCTAAACATGTGTATAGTTAGGCCAGCTACCAATTTATTGCCTCTCTGAGCCAAATCACTTTAGGATTGTTGTCATACATTAATGCCTAATACCCCCTTGAGGTAGGTAGAAAATAATGGTTTTGAAACTAGTTTAAATAGGGCATTTGGCTTCATTTCCCCCATTGAATACAAGACAGGTTGCAGGGGTTGGCTTCACTTAGTAATTGTTTCTCAGCTTCAACTCTGGGGAAATTAAAAATAGGATTTTTAAAGGCACGGCTTTAATATCTAATATGTTTTGTTGAGTGGCCTGAGAGGAATGAAGAACTCACATGCTCTAGGGTCCTTTTTCTCCAGGCCAAAGCTGATCGTTAAGTAGGGTCAGTTCTTTCTTTTGTTGAACGTGAAAAGCACAGAGAATGCACTGTGTTTTTGAAGTTGGATGTAGGTAGTTGTTCCTCTGTCCCCACCAGCTTTCTCAGAGCCACGCTTACCTCCTCCAACCTGTTTCTATCCTGTGCTTAACCTTATCCCTGCCTCGTAAGGCCGCTCTGATTTAAGTCTTCATCGTCCTTTTGCTTTTCTATATTTTTTGTTTCATTTCAGTTCCTTCTTGCTCCTATCCTGTCATTCTTCATGCTGGAGGTTGAGGCTTTCCAAGGTGGCCTTTTCTTTCTTTCTTTCTTTCTCATATCCTGTCTCTGCTGTCCACAATTGTCCCTTCCAGCTTCCCTTGCCTGCATGCCTGGCTGGTCGCAGCCTCTCTCTCCAGGTTGGCTGCTGACCTAAGTGAACGTGGTCCCTCGGCCATGGTTGGGGAACCATGCTCGCCTTCTTCTGTTTTCTTGCCTCTCCCTGCCTCAGCCTCACATGCTCCACCTACACCTTCTTCCTGTAATTACAGTTAAATCACACTTAAGGATTCCTTGGTCCTTTCCTACCAACCCATTCGATGGGCCCCCAAGGCCATTTCCTTACCATTTGATTGAAATATCCAAGTCAAATGTTGTTTATGGTTCATTGCCACCTGCTCTCCTGTTCAAATTAATGTTTAACCGATGACAACCCTTTTGTTAGAGTTGTTCAGGCCAGAGACCTGGAGGTCCTGTTCGACTCCCCTCTCGCCCCCACCCCGCCCTCGGATCTGGTCTCCCCACAAAACTGGTTGACTGTCTTCAGAATGTGTCCAGAATTCAACCGCTCCTCCCATCTCATGCTCTGCCTGGGCCCAGACCACCTCATCTTCTCTTTTCTTCCTGCATCTTCCTTTAGGCCTGCATCCTCTCGAGCCCAGCAGGGACCCTTTAGAAATGGAGTACAGATTCTGTGATTCCTCAGTTCAGAATCCCTTTAGGGTTTCCAGCTTCCAGGAAAGAGCCATTCTCCTCCCCAGCCGGGGAGTCCAGGCACATCTGTCTCTGTCCTTGACCTCGCTTCATCTTTTCCGGCAGCAGCGGCCTCCTTTCTTCTGGGCAGCTGAGGACAGCCCTGCCTCGGAGCTCCAGTGGTCCCTGTTCCTCTGTGACCAGTGTTCTTCCCCAGGCATCCTTGTGGGCATCACTCTGTTTTCCTTTTGGCCTTTACTGTTAAGCCACAGGGGCCTTCTCGGCCAGTAGATCTAAAATTTCTACTGTCTCATATCCCACTTCCAGGCCTTTTTTTTTTTTTCATCAACACCACTATCTCACACATTGTATTTACTTATTTTATTCATTTTATGTCTTCCCCCTACTTGAATATAAGCTCAGGGATGTTGAGGACTCCAAGTTGTTCATGGTGGTGCTGCTTTAGTCGCTAAGTCGTGTCCAACTCTTGTGATCCTATGGACTGTAGCCCGCCAGGCTCTCTGTCCATGGGATTTATGACTACACACCTAACAACTAAAATAGTCCTCCACCATTTCATTACTTCCTTTCTCCCTCACATTTATTTAATTCATTACCACTATCTTTTGTCACTTTTTTTCTTTCCGATAGAAATAATTCTTAAGTGTGGTTTAATTGTAATATCTTTATGAGGCTCTTCAAAGAAATATACTAATGAAAGTCCTTTGATAGAAATATCTCTGGATGTTGGTCCCAATCCGGAGCTCTTGCACTTCATAGGATGAGCAGTTGACTGACTATTTAATAAAGTAGGACTTAATTCTTATGCCTTGGTAGGGATTTCTGATGCTATTAATTTCCTGTCGAGAAAAAAGAAAGCAGTCTCCTAAGTGACATTCCAGTTGCTTCACAAATGGTGTCAAGATAACAGAAATACAAACATATTTTTCATTTTAATAGAAATAATCATTGCACACTATGAAGAAACCAAAAAAAGGACTTAACATGTATTTGTAAATGTGACTGTTTGTTTATGAACAAAATCTCTGGCGTGAGTGCTTTTAAGCATAGGTACACAGGCATATAGGTGGATTCTCTGCTTGTTTCTGAAAGTCATTAGCAAAGCCGGTAACACTGGTGGTTCAGGTAAAAAATGAGTCATTCTTTTTCTCATCTGCTCAGACTTTTCTGGAGGTGAGCTGCTATCTTCCTGTGGTCCAGGATTAGCACTGCTGCCTTAGCATTCCTGGTCTGGGGCTCTCTCACTTGGAAATCCATCCACGCTTTATATCTTCCCGACCCTCGACAGGCATTATCTCATGAAAGTCGGAGCACAGGAGTTGTTCAGCTATTTCTCATGATGTGAGAAATTAAACAAAAATCATTTCTGTCAAATTAGATATTAAGTCACAGAAAAGGACGTTTTTTTTTACCCAAGTGTTATTTGAAAACAGACTATAAATGAAAGAAAAGATGCCAATCAAATGAATAGACTGCAAATAACCTCAAGCACCTTCTTCTTGTCTTGAGAGTCAGAGGTTGGTGAACTTGGCTTTTCCTACCCTCATCTCTCTTTCCCTTCCGTTGGCACCTGTTACAGGTTTCACTTTCCTGGTGATTCTTCTTTTGGTTTCCATTTTCCCTGGTAATTCTCTGTCACATCATCTTGCCTGTTACTTGAACAGTACAGCTTCTTTCAAGCTGTATTCTCTGTAGTTTCTTTCTTGGGCAGTAGCAACTGAATTTTCTCATGTCATCATCCCTGTGCAAACAATTTCTGAGGTGGCCTGTTGGTTCTGGGTGAGGTGCCCACCCTTCGAGGTACACTCTGCTGGGGACTCGGGCCCACCCCCAGCCCCCTCTGGCTCACTTAGATCCCGCTTAGCTACACTGCTCTCTCTTTCCTCCTCACACCCTGTTATTTCCCATCTCCACACCTCTGCTCTCTGACGCTGTCTTTTCGTACAGTTTTTCCTTGAAGGCCCCTTTTTAGTGCTACACTTTTCCATGAGGGCCTATCCTTATGCCCTGACCCACAGCAGTCCTTTTTCTGCTTTTGTTATAGAATCTGACTTTGTTAGATTTTTCTTAGTACATATATCCTCCTGGATGGATATTTCTTACCTCTCACCCTCTTTTCACACCATACTTGGTCTTCAACATTTACTCCATTTGCAGTATAATGCCTTATAACCTACATGCTTAATGGAAATTCATTCAACTTAATGGTTTTAAGTCACCATAGAGTGTTTAAATTGTACTAACAACTTTGTCACATGAAAATTCCTGAACATGGAAGCTATTTTGCTTCGGCAAATCATCATTACTTAAGGAAATGTCTTTGCTTATGTTTATATTTCATAATAATAGCAGAGTTCTTAAGACATAGGGGGAAAGCACAAGTCACTTTAAATGCTGTCGACAGTGGCTGCTGTAACTAACTTTAATCGTTGTCTTATCATAGCAGCATTTGGGGTTAGGAATAGTTTAAGCTTGTCAACAGTGCATTATGAAATTTAAAACTTTTCCCCTGCCCTTACCTCTTACAATTCAAAAAGGTGTAACATCCAAATTCTAAGCATTTAGTCTTCAGCTAGTCTCTGGGATATCTCCTTAATTCCCTGGTGTTTGTGTAAGTGACATTGTATAGCTATATGGAGACCTTGGTCTTCTGAGCTCTTCAAGGAAACGCATACCCTTTGGTATTTAAGGACATGTCCTCAGAAAGCTTGATGATGAGTTCCGTTGGACTTACCTGGGTCTTCTTGAAAGTACTGGGCTTGTTTTTCATATGTAAAGTATCTTAGATCACTTCCCTCATCCTTTCTCCCTCACTGGCTCAACTGATCAACTGTCACCTCCAACTCCCTAAGGGGGTCCTCACACTGGTTGTATTAACTCATCTCGCTGGACATGTGTCTCTCTTTCAGCTCATGACACTGAGAGGGTCAGTGCTGGAGGATGCCATTCCCTCAACGGCAAAGCACTCAACGGCTCGGGGGCTCCCCCTGAAGGAGGTGCTGGAGCACGTGATTCCTGAGCTCAACGTTCAGTGCCTGCGGTTGGCCTTCAACACCCCCAAAGTCACAGAACAACTCATGAAACTGGATGAGCAGGGGGTGAGTGTGGCTTCCAGGGGAGGACACTTCTGTTGCTCAGGCTTCCCACTAAGCTTCCAGAATGAGACCTGAGTAGTTCTTTTTTGATGGGGAAAACTGATACCATTTATTATGAAGGATCTTCTCTTTGCAGTTACTCATTTTCTTTTTGCTTAACTCACTGAACATTTCTCATCTGATGAAATTCTCTGTGTCAGGATTGACTGATATGGTACTTAAACAGTGTTCAACTCTTTTGGTAATCTTCCATTAATGCAATGAATTTTTCAGATACTCCAGGAATAAGTAATAGCAATAACAGTAGCTGATACTAATGAACATATTCACCAGGCTCTGTTTTAAGTATCTTAATATATTATCCCAACTTATGTCCCAGCCCCAGGAGAATGGTACCATTTTTATCCCCACTTTAAGGATGAGGAATCTGAGACACAGAGAGAGGTTAAGTAATAAGTCCAAGTTCACACAGTTAATAAGTTCAAAGCATGTACTGGGGACCAGTATACCATACTGTTCTTAAGAGCTTTAATTTTTAGTCTATTAGTACCACCAGAGATGTATTTTTGTCAAGATTTTTAATTACAAAATTCAGAATTAAAAAAATCTGGATCCTAATATGTAACAAAATGAAAATACTCAAGATTTTCTCACCTCCATACTTCCTAAACCTTAATGTGAGGTCATTGATCCAGATACAAATGAGTGATAGGATAATTCATATAGAGGGGACAGAAAAGTAGAGAATGCAGAGCTGTAATCCACTAAATGGAGAGTGTATCCACATTCTAGTTGGAATCATTTGAGCATATGGGCTAGTTTTGTTAGACGTTGTATTTATATACTCTTATTTTAACTCTTTCTTTGAATATTGTAGCCATAATGTGTTTTGACTGAGTGGTAATAGCTTTTCCACTGCATTTTTTTTAGTCTTCAAAAAGGAAAATTGGTCCAGTTATTGAATTCCATTCTATGAACAAAGTTTGATAGAATTTTCTTAATGAGGCAAAAATTTGAATTTTATTAAAATGAATTATAGTGCAAAGTAACAGTTGCAAGGTATGATTCAGCCTTTTAACTCAGCTGATAGGAATATATTATTAGATATTAGATGTAACTTTTCTAATCATCGTTCCTTTTGTCCGTTCACCTTAAGCACAGCTAATATCTATTCCATATGTATATTTCAAGTAGACTGTGAATTTCCATATTTATAACACGTCAATTTGAGCACTTTGAATGCTTGGGGCTTCCTGGTGGCTCAGATGGTAAAGAATCTGCCTGTAATGTAGGAGACCCAGTTTCAGTCTGTTGGTCAGGAAGATCCTCTGGAGAAGGGAATGGCTACCCACTCCAGTATGCTTGCCTGGAAAATTCCATGGATAGAGGAGCCTGGCAGGCTATAGTCCATGAAGTCGCAAAGAGGTGGACACAACTGAGTGACTAACACTTTCAGAAGACTATTGATACATAAGTTTAACTATTTTGGGTGCTGTGTTCCAATAAATATTTTGAGCATTTATTCTAACAAAGGAAGAGTGGAAAAATGATGATTTATTTTCAATTTTACTGGTTCAAGGGAAACAACATTTAGACATTAATAATATAAGGGATGAGATTTGGGGGCTTCCCAGTGGTGCTAATGGTAAAGAACCTGGCTGCAAATGCAGGAGACACAAAAGGCACAGGTTCAATCCCCTGGATTGGGAAGATCTCCTGGAAGAGGGCATGGCAACCCACTCCAGTATTCTTGCCTAGAGAATCCCATGGACAGAGGAGTCTGGTGGGCTACAGTCCATAGGGTCACAAAGAGTCACATATGACTAAAGCTACTTAGCATGCACACCTACAGTATAATCATATACTGAACATTCTAATTTCAACAGATTAAGCAGATTATTTTGTGTAAAGGATGAATTTTTTTCCTTTTCACCCTAGGTTTTACTTAAATTAAAAACTGACTGCCCCAATTGTAGATATTTTATGGGACCCCTGGCACATTTCATGTCTCTCTTAGTCTTTACAAAATATTAGACCACAGGTAGTGCTGTTCTGTGATAAATGCTTTATGGTTCCATCCACAAGGACTTCCCTGATAGCTCAGTTGGCAAAGAATCCACCTGTAATGCAGGAGATCCTGGTTCGGTTCCTGGGTCAGGAAGATCTGCTGGAGAAGAGATAGGCTACCCACTCCAGTATTCGTGGGCCTCCCTTGTGGCTCAGCTGGTAAAGAATCCATCTGCAATGTGGGAGGCCTGGGTTTGATCCCAGGTTTGGGAAGATCCCCTGGAGAAGGGAAGGGCTACCCACTCCAGTATTCTGGCCTAGAGAATTCCATTGACTCTCTAGTCCATAGGGTCGCAAAGAGTCAGACACGACTGAGCAACTCTCACTTCCACAAGGAAAGGTGAAAGCACTATAATGAATTTAGCTTAAAGGTACATTTATTTAATTCACAAAACTGCCCATTATTCTGAATGAAGGGCTTCTTATTTTTGTTGTTGTTCGGTCACTAATAAGTCATTCTGACTTTTTGCCACCCCATGGACTGCAGCATGCCAGGCTTCCCTGTCCTTCACTATCTCCCAGTTTGTTCAGACTCATGTCCATTATGTCAGTGATGCCATCCAACCATTTCATCCTCTGTCGACCCCTTCTCCTCCTGCCCTCATCTTGGGCGATATTAAACTATTTATCCTTTCCTTCATAAATTATTGATGATCATATGTGTTAAATGTTTTCTATAATGCTTTCTCAGTGAAATTACAATTTGGCAGTCTAGATGAGTCTCCCCAGTTATATTTTGGAAATTTTACTAGACAGTAGAATCTAGAAGTTTAAAACCTGCTATTCTGTGTGAGCAGCTCTATATCTGAACTAAGGGATACCACTCCTTGGCCTCTCTTTCTGTTTATGTATTCATAACATTTAAAGCCCAGGGTTATACTGATAAAAGACAGAGGACACACATACTTAGGGGCTTAGTCTAGGGAGTCATGTTTTTGGTAAGGAAATTTTACTAATGCCTTGGAATCCTTTTGAGAAATTGATTATTCTGGTGACTTTACAGATAACAGATTTTGAAAAAGAAATGCCTCAAGGTGCTTATAATGCATTTGAATCACTGCAAAATGTTTTTAGTTTCCATCTGTGTCATCATCTTTTGAATTTCATGCTTTGTACATCTTTGTATTTAAAGAGATTTATAGTTTGAATTGTGTGTCCGTTGCTCAGTCGTGTCCAACTCTTTGCGTCCCCATGGACTATAGCCGATGACTGAAGCAACTTAGTACACACATGCATAGTTATGAATGCAAAAAAAACAACTCACTGAAAGGAGCCTCTACAGCTCCCTTTAAATTTTATTTAAATAATTCCTTTAAGATATTTTCTACTTTAACAGCTCACATAACTATTCTCAGATAAAGAAAACACTATTTGCTTGCTACATTGTGTCATTTTGCCTTTCAGATCTTTGGTGCTTTTGTTTTTTTCATTTACCATTTTTAAAAGCTAAAAAGAACAGAAGAACAGATGTAAGTTATATCTATATGATATAAAAGATAGCATTTCACAAAAATATAAAAATTTGTTTCTCATTTGACTAGACTCTGATATTTATGTGGGAACTGAAGTTGACATTTTAGTTCCCCAAGTTTTAGGAAGTGATCATGTGTTTTGTGGCTTACCCATGCTTTCACATTCACCTTCCTCACAACTTCCTGGGCCTTTCCCTATTGATTGATGTCCATTTCCATTATCATCTGAAGGCCAATCAGAAGATGAAATAACCTGTCAATGATTGCACATTGTCATGAATTTAGAACAGCTTGTGACTTAGCAAATTTGAATTAACTCTGGATTTAGTTTTCCCATCATGGTCCTGGATCTTCACTTATGAGATAATTGAGAGCATCTCTTATTATGAAGACACTTTAGATAAGTATATATGTTTACTTATTACACTGTTCTAAGCTCTTTACCAGCATCATCTGCTTTTACCCTCACGGCACCCCTGGATGGTAGCTTCCAGTTATTGGCCTTTTACACTTGAGAGGAATGAGACTTTCAGAAGCAGTACTGTTTTGCCTTAGGAGCCCTGAACCCTGGATATGCATTTGCATGATACTAACTTTGGCTTTTAAGATTTGCAAGTTTTCATCTCTGGCTCAGATGGTAAAGAATCTGCCTGCAAAGTGGGAGACCTGGGTTCGATCCCTGGGTCAGGAAGATTCCCTGGAGAGGGGAATGGCAATCAACTCCAGTATTCTTGCCTGAAGAATTCCATGAACAGAGGAGCCTGGCAAGCTATAGTCCATGGTATTGCAGAGTCAGACATGACTGAGCTACTAACACTTTCACTTTTACTTTTTGCACATATCAAATTATTTTGATCTTCCAAACTACACTGTAAAGTATCAGGAATTTCATTATCTATTGCCAACTTTTTAATAATATGGGTAATTCAGTTGCTTTTAGATTTGCCATATCAATGCTGTTTTTCTTCATTGGTCATTAAAAAACACCTTTATCTCACCTACTCCGTGCAATGGAGTGAAAAGATCTTTCTACCAGCAGTGAAAGTGACATTGAAAGTGAAAAGAAAGTGAAAGATCATTATTCCAGGCCCTGTTTCAAGGATCTCACACGTGTAGAGCACTTAATGCAATGCCAGACACATGGTGAACCCTGAATGATGATAAAATAATAACTGTTAGTAGCTGTTTACGTGCATTACCTCATTTCATCTTTATAAGCATCTTGCTGTTATAGATAGTATAACATATCGTGCTTACTTTTATAAGTAAAAATCATAACTTTTCAAATCCAGTAAATGTTCAGTAACCACTCTTTGCCGATTTTTATTAATAAATACTGTATGCTAGTAAGACACAGTCTTTACCTATGAAGGAAACAAAGTCATAAATTGCTGTAATAAAAGGTGGGTTTAATATAATGAGTGTAATAACAGAACTGCTAACAAACAGGCCAGTGGGGCCAAG